TTGACGACTTCTGCACTGAGGAGCGTGACGTCGTCGCTGTCGGAGCCAACCGTGAGCCCCTCCGCACTCCCTCCATCTCGACGCCGCAGCTCGAGAACAATGGTTCATTCCCATGGGCGAAGGCCTTGGCCATGTCCCCACCTCAGCAGTTCCGTCAGCTCTCAGCCATTCCTGACGACGAGATCTACGAGGACGACATGTTCCCGGGTCCTCCCTACGACGTCAAGCCAGATAGCGCCTCTGCCGTATCTTTTGTGGACTCTGGCTTGGGCTTATCTTTCAAGTCGGTTGACGTCAGCGAACCAAAGTCGATGAACTTCACTCGATCTCGGCCCGTTGCTATCTCTGGCTCGCTCCCTGCCAAGAACTTCAACAGCATGTCGTCCGCCTTCGGTAAGAAGCGCGACATGATCTCCAAGAGCTGGAGTGACCTTTGGGATGAGGAGGATGACGATGCGCAGTTCCTTGCTGAGCTTGAGAACAACTGCCACTCTTTCAGTGCTGAGAAGCCCAAGCCCAAGGCTGTTGTCTCCGAAGCCGGATCTGGCGTCTCGACCCCTCGTGGCTTATCCGAGGTGAAGAACCCTGCCACGGTCCACAACAGCAGGGATCGCTCGCCCAAGAACATTCGCACTGCGGTCGACCACGTCAGCGCGGCGACTGGATTCGTTTTCGAGGAGCATCGCACCCCAGCACCTGCTCGCAGCCCCAAGCGCTCTGCTGCCGACAAGTGGGCTGCCCTCGGCGACCGTCGACGCAGCCCTGCCGTCCAGGCCCAGCAGCAAGTTCAGCAGCAGACTCCGTCAAAACCAATGAGGTCGCCCAAGTCTGCTGAAGCTCCGAACTCCGCCCGGAAGCGGAGCCGGACTGGAACTGGCCGACGACCGATCCACTGGGGCTCCAGTCACAACGAAAACAACAACCACCCTGTCAGCTCCTGGGAGCAGAAGGTGGACAACTGGTACAAGAGCAAAGATTGGCGCTCTCATACCGATCACGCCCAGATCACGGACGATCTGGGTGACCTTGAGTGGGTGTGGTAAGGCACTATGACCTGCCACTTGTAGTCTTGACAACTTTTCTTATCCCTTTTTTTCTTTGCTTTGATTTCGAGGAATACGTTGTTTCCAGGAAGCAAGAGTCCTACGATTCCCAATCCTCAACCCTCCACGTTCAGATTGTAGCCGTTAGAGATACCATTTCCTATCTCCTCTCCTCTCTACCTTATACCTGTACACTCCACTTCACCGACGACCTCATCATTTCGAGCTTCTATCTTGTCGCTTGGTATCTCTCCTTTGTTACTTCACGGGTGTGTTTGTGGCTAGCTTCTGGGACTCTTGCATTGTTGGCGGGTGAAAGAAACTGTTCTGATGAAGGCTTTCGTCAAACTGCAAATGCTCAAATATGAAAAGGGAAGCAAGCGGCATCTGGGATGGAGTTTATGTTTTTTCTGTTGGCATCGAGAGGAGCCTATCTCTCCTCTTTCACAATTCGCTTCTTAGGGATGATTAGTTAGTCAAGACTCGTATCCGTCGGAGATTCCTTTAGCATTGGCACCGTTTTCGCAAAAAGTCGATCGGTCGCGAAAAGGATCCGGGATTTACCCACTCATTAGTACGTCTTCTGCAACCAGTGACGATTTCCTTGAATCAAAAACTATTACGGTAGATAGCCTACCGTTTAAGTAAATAAGCTTCTTTCTCAGATTGTATATATATCTATAGATTTAATCCCGTACGTACATTGTAATTAGACCCAAGCCCATAGAACGCGCTTCTCGCGATGAAAACTAGTATCACCAAGGATCATCCATGCATATATTGAACGTGCAGAGGATTGGTCAACACAACATCGCAGTTTCCCATCTTACACTTCCATAACACTCAACTCCCCGTCCCATCAATCAATCACACCATCATCCTCCCCTCCCCCGTCGCAAACCCCCCCACCAACCCAAACTCCCCCTCCACATCCTCAAACCCCACCCCTTCAACCACCATCTTCGCCACGGCCCTCGCGCACACCGGTATAATACCCATCCCTCCTCCATTAAACCCACACAACATCCACTGGCCCTCCTCCGTCCCTGGAACACGGCCCACATGCGGCATCCCATCTGGCGTCTGCGCTTGAATGCCCGTCCAGATACTATTTGGTTGGGCGGCGCTGGACTCCCAGCCCAGGAAATTGGTGGACATGTAGGATGTCCAGTGGGAGTAGATGGAGGGGGGGAAGTGCCCCGTGGAAGCGGAGTCGTCGACGGTGTTGTAGTATAGGGATTTGTTGTGGGGGTTGGAGGTGTAGAGCCAGGAACCGCCGCCTACGACGATGCTGGAGTCTGGGCGGGGGTTTAGGTAGTCTGTTCCTGTGGGTTGGCTGGGTGAGGAGGGCGTGGATGGGGTGGGGGCGAAGGATATGTTGTAGGTATTGGAGAGGTGGGGATGGATGGGGTGGGAGGGCATGTGGTGGCTGTTCATTCCTTTGTAGGGGGTTATTGTGCCACGGAAGGAAGGGAGGAGGGAGGGGGTGTAGGCGTTTGTGGCGTGGATGAGGGATGTAGTGGTGAGGGTGCCGCGAGGTGTGTGTAGAACCGTACCGTTGGATGTAGAGGTGAGGTGTGTAACCGGCGTATTCATCTGCACATTCAACAACCCTTCTCCATCCTTCCCACCAAACCTCCCCACCAACCCCCCCAACACCCCCGTAACCAACCTATACGGCCAAAAACTCGCAACCTCACACGAAAACGCCCCCACCGCGCCCTTCACACTCGTAACCCCCTCCACATACCTCCCCTCAACCACACTCCTGCTCTTCGTCCACCCCTCCCCTTTCTCCACCGCATCATCAAACACCCTCTTGACCTTTTCAAACTCCTCCCTGTCTTGGAAAACATCAAAACTGCGTCGGAGTTCAAACTCGCATTCTTGAGCTAACCCCTCGTCTTCAACCAGCGCTTTCAGCTCGTAAATCACGCGTTGGTGGTAGTCCGCCATCTGCGTTCTCATCTTGCTATCTCGCATACCCGCCAGTGTCGCCGTTTTAATCTTAGAATGTCCGCCGTTGCGTGCGGTGGCGCCGCTGCAGAGGGAGCGGGCGTCGAGGAGGACGACGCGCGGCATGGGTTTTCCCGTGGAGAGGTAGCTTTTGTGGGAGTTTTGCAGGATGTGGTATAGGGTTAGTACGCCAGCCATTCCGGATCCGATGATGGCGATGTCGCATGTCGTGGGGAGGCAAGGTGTTGTGCGGAGGGTGGCGTAGGGATGGGGAGTTTGGAGCCAGTAGCTGGGCATGGGGTTGGGGACGGGGAGGTAGTCGTGGGGTTGTTTTGCGGGAGGTGTGGTGTTGGTGGTGGTGTTGTGGGGTGAGGGGGGGTTGGGAGGGGCGGGTATGACGACCTTTCGGAGAACCATGTTTGCGAGTTGGTGAGTGTTATTGTGATGTTGTGATGGTTGGAGTAGGATGTGGCAACGACGACTGTTTATACATGCAAGATGTCAATCTACCCGTTATTTGGGGGCCGTTTCCTTGTGGCTTACTTCGGCGTTCGGGCTAAAGTCAGAGGCGTTAGATGTCGCATCTCACCTTCCATTCCGGTTGGCTGCAGGTGTTCTTATCGGTAATCGTACGTCAGTTTACGGGTATAAGCGCATGGTGAATCGGAAGAAGACGACTTTTGACGATCTTTGGATTTTGACTTGTATACAGTCGGGGTATCATGGAAAGGAAATGGGTTCTAGCTCCTACACCAAAATGAGTCCGAACGACGGACTACGGCACACTCGGTGTAGTTGGACTCGTCAGTCCACCTTGACTCTTCCTCCTGTCCTTCTTCTTCTTGGGGGCGGGAGCGATGATGCCCTTTTTACCCTGCGCTTCCAGTGTCGTCGGCGTTCCTACCGCCTTTGGTGTGCCCACTGCAGATGGTGCTCTGCTTGGTGGCTGTGTCTCGATTTTCAGCCCTGCAGCAGGTGTAGACTGTGAGGCCTGTGCCGCCTGCTCTTGTGCCTTGTTCCTCGCATTTACAGCGGTCTTGGTGCCCTCGAAGACGAACGCGCCTGGCTCGCCTTTCAGCGGATTCTCATCCATGTATTCGTCTCCGTATGCGTTTGTGAGATTGAGCGAGTGCATGAACAGCGCGTCTGAGAACTCGGTGGTGGATGCAAGTGGATCTGCCGCCTGTGCCGGGGCTCCTGCTCCTTGTGACTGCGAGCCCGCTGCGTCTGGGTCCGTTGGCGCAAGTGTCGGACTACCGATTCGACTCGCCGTAGTCGCGGCTTTCGCAGCTTCTTGTGAAGTAGGGAAGTACGAGTATCCCGTCGCAGGTGTCCAGTGTGTCATGTTCTTGGATATCTCAGCCATCTGCTCCATGCGTGTCGCGACGGTAAGCAGTCTACTCTGCACAACGTCCAGCAAACTCGGCGCCATGAGAACCTTGGTGTTGTGCGTATACCAGTTGCCCTCGACAAACATGCCGTTCTTCTTGTTGCCATCATAATCTGTGACCTCGGCCTTGTGTTGGCGCTGGAGAATCCATGGGTGACCTTCGCCCTGCCCTTCACCAGCTATAACGTATTGTATTCCTTGCGGTACACTATTGAGTCTTTGATTCCACAGCGTCGGGTCATTCATGATTTGCTGGGCATTGGCCGGGTCATGGAGGTTGAGGTTACTGAAGACGGATATGTTGATGCACTCTTCCGCGTCGAACCATGGCGACGAGGTGAAGTACCAGAAAAGGTTGTTTCCGGCATTCAGGTCTTGCCCGGGCAGAGTCGCGATGGTCGAGGGCGCATCGTACTCTTGCTCGTCGGGGGGTGGGAGTGTCGGGGGCATGTTGGCGGTGTTTTTGTGAGTGAAGTGTGTCAGGGCTGGAAGCTCTTGAGGTTGGTGATGGAGAAGCTACTGGTAGGTAGCACGGGCCTCTCACCTCCGCGTGTTGGCCGCAATCGACTTGCGCCGTCTTCTGCCTACCACTACCACGACAACTCAACACCATGGATCTCGTGCAGACAGTGCGAAAAGAAGGCAGCCGGTAAGCTTCCTCATCTTTGATGTTAAAACACCAACTGACAGTACCCAGCGGTGGTCGCGCCGACTTCAAATGGGAAGACGTCAAGAACGATGCGCAACGCGAAAACTACCTGGGCCACTCGCTCATGGCCCCCGTCGGCCGCTGGCAACAAGGACGCGACCTGAACTGGTACGCAAAGGGCGACGAGGAATCCAAAGAAGCCGAAGCCGCGCGCATCAAGGAAGAGAAGCGCAAACTGAAGGAGGCCGAGGAAGACGCCATGCTAGCTGCGATGGGTCTGCCCGTGCCAGTGCGCAACAACGCGAACCTGACGCCACTCGGCCAGAAGGCACACGAGGCAGAAGTCAAGGACACGCTAGATGAGAAGGCCAAGGTGGAGGACGACGGCGACAAGGCGAAGAGGAGGGAGAAGAAGGAGCGTTCACGGAGACACAGAGATGACGACGGAGAGCGAAGGAGACGTCATCGATCGCGGAGTCGTTCGCGGGACAGAGAGCGACGCCACAGACATAGAGAACGTTCACGGTCGCGCGACAGGCGGGGAGACGATGTGCGCGATGGGCGCGACGAGAGGCGCAGACACCGATCACGAAGCCGCGACCATAAGCGACGAGAAGATCATACAGAACGCAGGCGAGACCGCGATGTCGATGCGAAGCGATCAAGATCACTATCGAGAGACCGGAGACGGCGAAAGGACACGAGAAGCAGGTCACCACACGAGAGGAGTGAGAGGAGGAGGGATTGAGGAGTGTAGCAGATACAGCGAACATATCCTCAAAGCAGTTCTAATCAAACCATGGGCGTTCTTTAGATTTCTACCGGTATGGTGCCACCCAGTTCAAGCGTTCTTGAGAGCTTATGTAGCTTTAGCGAAATCTTTACGTTGGACATCCAGACATCGACCCAAATAAATATCTGGCAGTTCTTCGACCAACAACCTACTCTGCATGCCGCACAAAGTCATCATACGCACCTGACTACCCCAGTCCAAACCCACATATCCCCACGCTGCACGCCTCCCGGGATCTCCGTCCGACTCGGCAACCTCGGCCGGCTCCCCATAGCCCCCCAAACCCCTCACCATCAGCATGTAACAATGATACACAGTAGCGTCTTCGCTATTGCATCCTCACCGCTGCGATTTGCCTTTTCCTTACCTCAAACCCCGAATCACATAACCATCCTTCTTTGCCTAACAACTCCGACTTGAACACCCTGATCCCATCCATCTAACCCCAGTCATCGCATCACCAAACACCATGACCGCAGCACCACCATCCATACCCGACTGGCGCACCCTCGCCGCTTCGAAACGCGAATCCGTGTACGCGAAAATACCGAAGGATTGGCGGCTGCCTTCTTCGCAAACAGCTCAGTACACAGAAACGACCAGTATATCTGTGTTAGATGTACCACGAACATGCGGCATCCTGACCGAGAAAGAGCTAGACATTACTGAAAACTACGATGCCACAGATTTGGTCAAGATGATGGCAGAGCGCCAATTGACCAGCACAGAAGTGGTCACGGCATTTTGCAAGAGAGCAGCTGTGGCGCAGCAATGTGTGAGTTGCCTAACAGAGATCATGTTCGAGGAAGCGCTTGCTCGGGCTCGGGAATGTGATGATTTTCTGAAGAGAGAAGGGAGGGTTATGGGACCGTTGCATGGGCTGCCGATAAGTTTGAAGGACTCTTTCAACGTAAAAGGCGTTCAAGCAACACTGGGCTACGTCTCTTTCCTCGCGCACCCACCCGCCGCTTCGAATTCCTCTTTGGTCACTCTTCTGTATTCTCTCGGCGCGGTATTCTACGTCAAAACCAACCTCCCCCAAACAATGATGACAGCAGATTCCCACAACAACATCTTCGGCCGCACGCTAAACCCGCTCAAACTATCTCACACAGCCGGCGGCTCCACAGGCGGCGAAGGCGCGCTCCTCGCTATGAAAGGCAGCGTCCTGGGCGTAGCAACGGATGTAGCAGGATCCAACCGCATCCCCGCGATCTGCTGCGGCGGCTCGTCTCTGAAGCCAACAGCAGGCCGCGTCCCGTTCGCAGGCGGCGTCGCAGTAGGCCGGCTGGGAAGTCCCGGTTCCGTTCCCGTGGTCATAGGACCGTGTGGTCGTTCTGTCCGCGACTACGAGCTTTTCATGCGCAGTGTGGGCGACGCGAAACCGTGGCTCTACGACGAAAACAGCCTCAACGTCCCGTGGCGCCGCGTTCAGCCCTCCAGCAAACCCCTGAGGTTCGGGCTGGTGCGGGGCTGTAAAGAACGACCCCTCCACCCACCCATCGCCCGCGCACTGCATACCACGGCGATGAAACTGAAAGCGCAGGGGCATGAGATTGTGCTGCTGGATGACAAGATCCCAGATCTATACCAAACCGCGTTACTAGCCTGGAAATTCTTCATGCTGGATCCGAAGAAAACACCCTTACAATATATCAAACAAGGAGGCGAACCGCCCGTCCCCTCGCTATCAACATGCTCGTTCCCCGAGTTGAGAGATTGGGTGCCGAGTCTGGATGAGCTGTGGGATTTGAATGTGCAGAAAGCGGGGGTTGTGAGGGGGTGGCATGGGGTGGTGGTTGGGGGGGTTGGTGGTGGTGTTGGGAAGGAAGAGGGGGAGAAGGAGAAGGGGTTAGATGCTGTTCTGATGCCGGGGTATCAGGGTGTAGCGCCGAGGCATGATACGTATGGCTTGCCGATTTACACGGTTGTGGTTAATTTGCTGAATTGGCCGAGTGGGGTGTTGGCGGCGGGGAAGGCGGAGAAGGGGGGTGATAAGGAGTTTGCGAAGGAGGGGGTGGTGTGCGAACCGCCTTGTAAGTGCTGTTTGCGAATCGAGGGTATGTTGGAGGCTAACTTTTTGCAGATGATGCGGATGAGTGTGAGGGCTTGCCTACGCATGTGCAGGTTATGGGGAAGAGTATGATGGATGAGGAACTAGTGGAGGTTATGAAGGTTGTGGAGGGTGTGTTGAAGAAGTAGCCACTGCTTTGATAACTTTCTGCGATTACATGCCACCTTGATGAGCTACGTCGAAACGTCTGTATGTCAAACTCACACCACATAAGTGCATGTCTGCGGCAAACATGTTTGTATCTAGACATCCAGGGCCTTCAGCTTGCATCATGGCGGCCCTCCCAATCCCCCACCGACATCAAACATCTGCCGAAACACAGTGTTAATCAGCACACCAGGTCCCATCTCCATCGGCACAGCAACCTCCTTCAACTTCCCCAACACATCTCCTTCCCTCTGCTTCACCGGCTCTTTCCCTGCCATCATCTCCATTGACCCCGTCTCTCCGCCACCATGTCCCCATCCCATCCTATACCAATACTCCGGCCAAGAATGCCCATTCCCATCTTCCAGCCCCGTTTTCTTCACGATATGGCTTGCAGCTGGTGAAATACCCAGAACTTGTACTCGCGAGCTTGAACTACTCAGATGATACAGCATCTGTGCAGCATAGCGCTGCATAACCATCTCGTCCAGTGCAGCAAAGCCGACGGCACAGGGCTCACGATGTGGAGGAAAGTTGTCGCGGGTATAGTGGATGTCTGGTGGGGATAGGAGGCGGAGGTGTTTTAGATGGGGGTGTGCGGCGATATGAGTCTGAACATGTTGTTAGTTTTTCGCCATTAAGGTTGTGGTGAACAAAAGGGTTGCTTACTAGAAAAGTCTTTTGGTCGAATAACATGTCGTCGACGGGTCGGTCTGGCACTAATCCAGAGAGTGGGTTGGGATATCGGATCGGGTGTAATGATTGGGGACAGAGGTGTAGAGCGAGACCATTGAGATAAGGGAGGGATTGGAGTAGTTTTGCCAAGTCGTTTGGGGGGTGGAAGGGTACGCGGTTGGTTATCTGGCCGTCTATGCCGAGTTGACGGAGGGAGGTGTGGCGGGCGATACAGGATATATCGATCATCCCTCCGTCTGCCATGTCGATCCAAAGCTTTTCTAGACTGTTGAATGCGTCTAGAAGTGCTTCGATAGCTCGTACGGTGTGTTCTAGTGGAGAAGAATTTCGGGCCATCGTAATGTTCAACTCAGTGAGGTTGCAAACGGGCGCAAGTACTGTCATGAGATCGACGATGCTCTCGCAATCCACAAGCTGAAGACATTTGAGTTTGGATAAGTCGACGTTTTCCTGGATTAGAGCTGCAGCTCTTCGCCCCAAGACCACCTGCTCCAGGCTCATCCGTGATAACTTGAGTCGAGGAGGCACACTGCCACTTTCAAACGGCCCTCCGAAGACGGTCCAGTCTGGTCGTGCGTCTGGGCGATCAGGATACGCCATGAGACTGAGGCAACCAGGACGTGTCACAATCCTGAGTTCTTTGAGATTCGGAGCGCTGCGCACGAGTAGTCCAGCCGCCTTGCATTGTTCGGTACCCATGTCATCGGGCATCACGGTGAGCGACTCGATACTCGTAAGTCGAGAGGATATCCACGATTCGTGAGCTCCGTGTGCGTAGCTTACGTTGGCAGTACCAAGCCCCAGATTGAAAAGAACATCGAGCCGCTTCAGCTTCGTCTGATGCTGCAGCAGATGAAACATCATTCCTGTGGGCAAATTGACTTCCCCACCTAGAGCGCATAGTGCCCCCCTTGGAAGTTCGCTGATGATTGCCATGAGTAGCATCTGCGTGGAATAGTCGCATGCGCCGTACAGCTTCTCGGTGCCAACGCGGGCGATGTAGATACTTTTTACGTGGGGTATGACGCCGTTCCCAGGCTCGAGGAGTGTGTTCAGCATCTCTGGGGTGAAATTATCCGACGCTATCGTAAGGTTCGAAAAAGCCATTGGCGTGATGATGTCTCGCCATTCGTGGTTGACGAGACGAACGGCTGCATTGGTGGCTTTGTCGCGTACGGAGGCGAAGATATTGGTCTTCATCTCTGCCGGGAGGCTTGAGAAGCTAGCTGGGCCCGATGATTCGGTCATCTTGCATGAGTTGAAAGTTGGTGTGTGGTCAGGGGTGACAACAAGGCAGATGAGTTGAGTGGGTTGCGCTTGTCACTGGTGGAGCGCAACGGGTTATGGTTCCAAAGAACGGCGTGAGAGCCCAGACAATAGTCCGAGTGAAAGGCTCTGGAGGCGCTGACGACGTTTCTTCTCATTGTTGGCAGTTGATGAGTGAATGGGAAGGGATGTAAGGAGCGAGTTGTCATCGAAAGACCCCGCTACTGCCTGAAGCTGTGACATATCGTTCGCAAGGGCACACTTTTCTAGCAGCGCTGAGTTCTTGAATCGAGATATCTGGTTGAGTTCGTTCATCTCGAGGCCTGCTGCAGCCCATCGAAGGAGAGTTGACAAAGCGAGCTGCTTCGCGAACGGCTGCTCATTGCTCTGACCAAATGCAGCCGGACCCAATTGGTTTACGGAGCCGATGAACATTCGCAGACAGGCGTCCCAGAAGTGGCTGAAGAAACCAGCAATCTCGGAATCACTGGCGCGTCCAGCTTCTTCCAAGAACAATGCGTGAGATTGACGGATGGCGTTGAAGCTCGGGGTCGTGGAGACACACGCGGTTGTACAGATCACCGCGGCCTTCCCAATCAGCGCGCGAAGTCCAAGCTTCGCTGCGGCTTTGACTGAGTTGACAAGGAGCAAGATCTTTTTGGGGACTACAAGCCACTCGCCGCTTGCAGACATTTCGACACAGCTCATCAAGACGAAGACATGCGGTTTTGCGGATACCAGTACGTTGCGTCTGAGATCATGTAGCAGTCTGGCTGGGCTATCCAGCCCGAGAAATGGAAGTTGCGAGAAGCTCTTCAGGCTGATCGAAGCCGAGTAACTGCGCAAGCTCTGGGATTTTGGTAGGCGCTGAGAAGACTCAAATGGCAAGGGTCAACGTTGTGGTCTGGTTCCTAAAGGTTGGGGCGCGAAGTCAGTACACGCCTCACATTCATTGGTGTAGGGTTATGACTCACTTAACGATCTGCGCCGTCTAGATACCTTCGACTTCTTCGTCGACAGTGTAGGTTACCATGAGGCCAGAGTTGTGGGGTTCCTGTAGAAGTGCAAGGTCAGTGTGTGTCTTACGCATCTGGTACAGTTGAGACTTACCTTGAGAGAGGCCGGAACAGCGACACCAAAGTTGAGCATGTCATTGCCATCACCATCGCCAGTCTTTTTCTCTAACAGGGCAAATATTGAGACGCGACCATTGGTGTTGAAGAGCTTGACGAATGAGTTGCACTCGGCCTCCGCTTGATTGAACACGAGGTCGGCGCTTTCCACAATGAGTGGAAGAGCGAGCAACTCGGATGAGGGTAGTGGAAGATGGTTGCGATGGTGAGTAAAGAGTAGAGGGGAGGGGTTGTAGAGGGTATGATTGAGGTTGTTGTGAGAGACTGCCTCTGTAGGTGAGTGCCTGCCAAAGCGCACGAACCCAAGTTGCAGAGGCAACGATAACAGCGCGCTTTGGCGAAAAACTCTGCAAGGCAGGTGGAGGCGAGAGCGACCGTGACATTTGAGAAATGTGGGAGTGTTGGTTGGCTTGTATGGCTCAAAGGGCTGCGCTCGCATGGTGACGCGATAACTTGTCGAGAGACTCTGCAAGGCCAGTGAAGGTGAGAGTGACTGTGATTGTTGGATAAATATAGGAGTGTTGGTTGGTTTAGGTGCCTCGATGGGCTGCGCTGGCGGTGGCGCGATAGGTAGCTTGTCGAGCGTGTGCGAGAAGACGATTCTGAGACGGTCGCGCAAGGAAGCGGGTTGCTGCCAAGTACTCACACTCTCAGGCGTATATTTCTCGCAGTCGCTTTCGGGTGACCATCAGTGGCGAGGATAATCAGAAAGTTGGAGGGGTGTTGGTTGGTTTTGATGCCTCGATCGGCTGCGCTCGCATGGTGGCGCGATAGCTTGTCGGGCGACTGCGAGAAGACGATTCTGAGAAGGTCGCGCAAGGAAGCAGGTTGCTACCGAGTACTCACATGTCTCAGACGTTTCTTTCTCGCAGTCGCCATTGTTGGAGGGGAGGGGCGGGTGGTGGTGAGGTGGTGGTGCGGATCGGGTTGTTATAGCGTCGACGTCTTTTTATTTAGGCAGCAGCGGAAGTCGCAGTCACTCACGTTTGCTTAGTGTAAGGTGGGTGACCATAAAAACAAGGTGACGTCAATGTATGTCGGCAAAGTTGAAGGTGAAGCCGCCTTCACCCGCTTGTCTTGCTGGCTTGAGCAACTTGGCATAGCGCCCGTTGAGTATAATGCTGTTGCCTTCCCCGATACCGGAGACGCGACATGCTGTGGCATTATGTCCCAGAAGTGAATTTTGTACATCGTCCATGAATACTAAGACCGGTACCAAAGCAGGACATGGAGGGAGCGCTCACGAAACTGTCACTGCCACGCACAGAAGATAGTCTGCAGAGCGTTAGCAATGCGATATTTGAATGAAGTCAAGGGAATACATACGGTGATGAACGCTTATAAAATAGAGTCGGTACAAAGTCATGGCGAAAGTTTCAGCCCAGAGCCCGGTGATACCAGGACAGTATCGCTCGATCACGCACGGTTCTGAAGTACATATCGACTCGACAATATTGCTTGCATTCATGTGAAACTACATACTATACATATTGCGTGGTTTCCATGACACCAAGACCTTTTTTGATTGCATGACGTGATGACAAGCGAAGTGTGACTAACCCAGGCTACACATGCTATGCATGTAATACAAATGGATGTATAGTTACAGTATACCAGACATCGTGCTCATGCGAATCGAGCGTTGTATATGAAGGGGGCATAGTTCTCTACCCATCGAGACGCCATGCCCTTCAAGAACATCCTCATTTGGTTTGGGGTGTGAAGGCCGTGAGTCTGAATCAGATGAGAGTCGTACTCTGATGGACTGCTAAACTTGTGGGGTGTGTTGCATCCTTCTACGTAGCAGGAATGACCCTTTGGCTTCTCTTGCTCGAGCACAGTTGGCTGATTGACTCTGTGCTCTTTCTGTAAGTGGTTACGATAGCAGGCGTGTGCTTTGTAGCGGACTTCGCACCCCTCGAATCGGCATGTGATGATCACGTCCTTGTCGTACAAGGACATGGCATGTCCGAGATGATCTTCTTCCATGTGCTTGTCGACGTGGATGAACGATGCAAAGTTGGTGCGTGGGCAGCAGCCAACCGGGCGTGCGGCCGGGTAACACTCGGCGTGCTTGGTGATGACATGCTCCTGCAACGCCCTCTTCTTCTTGCAGGACTTGTCTCCTTTCTTATTACCGTTAGGGAGAGTACAAACTGGTTGAAGGCCTGCCTTGAACACTGAATTCACTTCTTCGTCTTGTTCTGTGATCGTTGGAGAGCCTCGGACAAGAATGGGCAGTGTCCAGTACAGGAATGCCGAAGCGTTCACGTACGTCTTGAGCTGATAGATGGCGCGAGCGTTGGCCAGTTGCAGATCATACTTATCGGCTAAGTGCAGTGCGGATGGTGTGCCGGCGCCCGCAGGATGCCCCTCAAGGCAGCACCTCATTCAGGAAAAAACCTGAACAGGTCTGGAGCCTACATCAACATGAAAACATGCAAAGTAGGTGACATAACGTCGATGTAGACCCCAGGCCTATTCAAGTTCTTCCTACGCTGACGTAGCGGAGTGGTCGAGTTCTTGACCGATGGCTCGTATAGTCATTTGGTCGCCGTGTACAACGCGGAGGAGGTCGTCTGCCGCGCCATTCCGTAGGTCGTCGGGATGAAGTGTAACGTTTGGATTCACTGTAGAATGGAAAAAGTTGAAGGCGATGCCCATCTTGCTTGACCCCATCGGTTAGCTTCGTATGACCGTATGCGCGAGGGTGACGCGACAGAAGACGGGAGTGTATGCATGTACTCATTCGATCTTCTTGGGTGGATGCGTGGCAGCCCTGGGCGAAGATGGCTTCGTTGGTGTTGTCGCCTTTCACGTTTCTATGTTGCATAGCGTTTGTAAGGACAAGCCATTCTGGGCAAAGATAGTTATCGTTGTTGCCGACCAGGGTGTTTCGATGCGATCTGTAGGGTTCTGAAGGCTCTCCGCCACATCCTTAGGGTAGCATGCACTTGATGAGATGCGTAGATTCAGTAAACTCACTTGCTGCCTTTGGCCATCCTAAGTTTCCCAACGCCATCGGTGCGATCAACTATATTGTCTCCTTCATGTACCAGCTTGACGGCGAAGTACGAGCAAAAGGTCTTGGTCTTGCATCCATTCTTCTATGCTGCAGCTGACAACCCAGCCAGAGGATACTCACTGTGCTGGAACTGAGCCATGTATACGCCTAGGGCTACAATGATACTTCTCAGAGTTAATGAAAGATGCTTTGTATGCTGCAAGAGAAGATGGGCTGGGCTCGAGATGGAATGAGATATTCTTGTATACTACAAAAACCTTTATACCACGGTCGCAATACTACTAGCAAGTAAGTGTGATTGAACATTTAAGGCGTACAGAAGGGAGCTAGAGTGAGTTCGAGAAAACAGGTTGTTCATGGAAGACCGACGGTAGCTCATCCCACCTCCTTCTAACACAGTATGACAAGACGCAATGACGCAAGTGTTCTCGCGGTGGTAAAACTTGGAGTATCGCCGAGTTCAACATTCTCCATGAACGCGATACTGGTTTGGCATTCCGATGACTGGCGAAGTTTTTGTGATATTCCGATGTGATCGGATGACTTGAGACGGCTGCCGTCGGAGGGGTACTGAAGGGCGTCAGACAGCGACAACCGACACCGACATACGGTGTCAGCCAGCATCACGAAGCTGCTGCAACACCAACGTCACGCATCCAGCCGTGGCAGCCTTGGAAAGGCATCTCGGCAGCCCTAGAAGCCAGGCGAGGCTTCGCGAACCACGGCTCTTGTGCCAATAGCGGGCAGCGCGATGGAAAATTCGCCGCCTGGAGTTTCGGGCCCCACGTTCTTTGAGGGCCCTCGCCGCTAGTTGTTGGCCCGAG